AAAGCTCAACCCTGGATAAGGTTATTTTTAAGGAGAATGATAAACAAGGACTTTATAAAAATATTAATATTAAATTAAAAACTTTGGTATTAAAACATGATAGAAGAAGTATTAAAATTTGAGAACATCGATGTTGAAAAGTTCTAATTTGACATTAATGCTCTTACAATGTCTTTATTTATCATTTTCCCTCATTTTTTTATAGCACGCCACATAATTATAATTTTTTTTGGGAAAATCATAAATAAAGACCTTTGGAAATTATTAATAACTATTGAGGACCATAAAAATTTCAGATTCAACCTAAGTGCCAGGTCCTTTTCTACATTTTAAAAAATTATTGTTATGACTAAAATACTCTTAAAAAAAAAGTAAGTAAATGTACATTTTGAACAAGGTTGTTTTTTGTCCAAATATTATTTTTTGAAATTATAAAAATAAATCATGATCCTAAAATTTAATTTCAATGTTTTGTGATCCTGAATAGTTATTACTGATTTTCACAAGTTATTGGTTGCAGTTTCCCCACTTTTTTCTCTGCCATGCACAGGTCATAAATAGTTGTCTTAAAATGGAAGAATATTCGCAGCATATTGTATCTCTCATTTAAATTCAACAACTTCATAAAATGGATTTTATATATATATATATATATATATGCCAATTAAAGAATAATCCTTTTTCACTTTTCTTTACACTTTATGCACATAGTACGTGAGAAAAGTCATTCATATAGACCCTACAATATGAAATTTCTCTATTATTCTAATGTGGAAATTAAAGGTCAATATAACATCATAATTTATTTTTGTGTATAGTGGAACCCATTATAATATGGCTCGTGAATAATAATATAATATGCTTAAACATTCTTAACTCTATGCATAGCATGACAAATGGTGCTAGTTATGATGATGATGATAATAAATTTTCAATATTGATTTGAAAACAAGAAAAACTAGGATTAATTTGTTAAGTTATAATCATAAAAATTTGAAAATTAAATAGCTAACCTCTTGATTTTTGTCTCTATAAATTCCAATAAAAATAATTTCTCAAAATAAATAAAAAGAATATTGAAACATTTTATTCTCCTTAAGTTTATTTTAATTATCAATTTGGCCTTTTAAATTTATCTCAATAAATCAATTTGCTCCCTTAAATTTTATCCTTGCCAATCTAATCCTTTATATTTTCTTGATTACATTGTCACGCCATTCTTTTAAGTTTTGAAATATAAATTGACTTTTAAATTATTCTTTTGTATAATGTTAATGACTTGATAAGTATGTAGTTAAATGAGAATAAATTAACTCTCAAATCAGTTTAATTTTTATCAATATAATCTTCAACACTATGTCTTGTTTTGTCTTTTAAACTTTCTAAGCATGTTTTCATTTTTTTTCTACTTAAATAATTATATTTTTTTATTAATATATGGTGGCTAACTCAATATTCCATATTTCCGTTATCCATATCAATCAATTTTAATGGTGTTACTTTCTTTTTAAATAATAAGGATCAAATTGATATTTGAATTAACTTTAAAGGATTATATCAATAAAGATTAAATTTAAGAGACAAAATCAATAATTGACACAAACTTAAAATATTAAAATTTTTATTATCCTTAAATATATATATATATATATATATAAAGTTACCTTACAATATTTTTGGTGGAAAAAGGGAAGCTGGGGTGTGGATACCAGAAAATATCAAGGTTCAAGCTCATCTTCACAGAAAGTAAAAATAAACTTTGATATTGTAAATTTTTTCATAATTTTAAAAATCAAATCTTCATTTTGAAGAAATGGGGGAAAAAGAAGAAGCATATAAGAAAAGGCATGAATGAGTAGTCTACGGTAGATCGTAGAGACATTTTACAAAAAGAATTGGCGAATGCGATCGAGCCGCCGCGTTTCGCAGAAGCAAACAAAATCATCATCTCACCACTTTTGATTTTGAAAAAGAACGTCGAAGTCGGCACTGCGTTTCGTCGCTGCCTCTGCCTTTTGCTTTAAATCACTTAAAATCTTTTTGGATATATATACACATCGTATCGTGCATCGTATCGTGTATATTAATCCCTCGATCACAAAAAATATTTTAAAAAATTTACTGTTTATCAAACTGTAATGTTATTTATGTCATGAGACCCACAATTGCTTTTTTTTTTTTTAATTCAGCTGTTTCTTTATCACTTTTTTATAATATTTTTTCATTCAATCCCGTACAGGCCATTTTCTAGTTTATAGTAAGTTAAATTATATATATCATGAAAGTTTAATTCATTTCTCACTCTCTATATGTTAAATTTTAATATATAATAAAATTGTTACCATTCAAAAGTTAGTTCTTAATTTCTCATGCTTTTTGCAACCCATGAAAAAATTATGTTTAAAGCTAAATAATGATATAATGTGGAAAAAATGATCTTCTGTAAATATCTAATCATATAATAATATAATAACAAATTGTATTTGTATTTTTTTCATTATAAATCTCATAAGGTTTCAATTCCACTTTGGCATATCAAACACTAAGGGCCCGTTTGTTTTTAGTTTTTTTAAAAAAATTATTTTTGAAAATAAAAAATTTAAAAACTTACTTGGATAAGTTCTTTTGATGTATTTTTTTAAAATTGTTTTTTTATTTTTTAAATAAAAAATAGAAACAACTTTGAGTTATTTTCATTTTATTTCTCTTGTTTTTAAAATATATTACATTTGATTATTAAAAATTATAATTATTTTAATTAATTTTTATCATAAATTAAGAATATTAATTGTCTATAATTATTACTATGAGTCTATTTTTTAATTTTAAAACCATTTTTAAATCAATATAACTAAACAAATTTTCAACTAATAATAAGAATAATATTGTACTATTTTCAATTATTGAGGAAAAAATTGCAAACAAGATTTAAAGGGAAAATATAATTATTATTCTTATAGTTTCATCATATTTTGTTTTTAATATTTATAATTTTTTCACAATGTTTTTAGTCCTTATGAGTATTAAAAATACTGAAAAACTGAAACTATAATGATTTGAAAAACAAACATCACCTAAATTTTCTAAAATTATAAGGATTAAAAAATTAAAAAAACTACAAAAATTAAAAGTAAAATTCAATTAAATTATAGAAAATGATGATTGAGTGTTTTTTAAATTTAAAATGCCAAACACTCTTGAGTAAAAAATTAAAAGACAAAAATTCCCTTTAATATTTAATTTCATCTTTTATTGTGCTTTTGTGGTTTGTTTAGGCAAAACCAAGCATTTGTTTTTCTCTGTGACTGTAATTGATGGCTTCGGGACTTCAATGCTCGCACGTAATTACTTATTTGATCATCAACCCACCACATATTGCTCTCTCTCTCTCTCTCTCTCTCTCTCTCTCTCGAGCTTTCTTCCTTCTTCTTTCTCTCTCTAGATATTATTATTATATTGAGAACGAGTGGACCAAGAGCACTAGAAATTGTTTGTGAACCCCACAATTGATTGTTCGGCGTTTTGCGTCCAGGTACATCATGTGGTTTAATTAACCCGATTTTCGATCGGAGCCATCGTTAATATTAATTAGCGGTTGCAACCAAAAACACGTGCCATTCTAAACTTTATTACCTTGTACATTAATCTCTCAATATTGCCCTTCCTTAGTGGCACCAGCACCGGCCTGTACTTTCAAAACAAATTTTATTGTATTATTTTCATTGGAATTAAAAAAAGACAATAAATTAATTAATTCTGCCTTAAAATAAATTAAATTACAACTTTACCCTTACTAATGAATATGGATTTTTATAAACAGAACTACCCTGACAATAATTTTTTTCAATACATTATATTCTCTCTCATGGAAACAAAATTTAGGAGAAAAAAATGGAGAAGTACAACATTATATTCAAGGAATCATGTAAAAATACTGAATTATAATTAAATTCTTCATTTAGTAATTTGCAACCGGGATAGAATTAAAAAACATTAATTAATAACTTTTATTGTGACTTATATTAAGAATGACAGAATTTTTCCAAAAAAATGTTCTATAATAATATCAGAAAAGTTATTAGGATTAGAGGGAGTGTACTATTATTATTTAAAAAAAAATAAAAGTTGTACGCACTTAAAAAGTTGACAACATGAAATGCGACAAAATATTTTTAACCGATAACTCAAAAAGAAAAGTTGACAAGACTAGCAGCATAATATGCCATTTAGAATGATGTTGAAGTGCCATAAATGTTAATATTAATGTTCAGTGGAATCATTCTAAGGACATTGCACTTATTCTGTGTGTTTAGGTAACATGTATGTGTGTGAATAACATATGTTTTTATACTCTTTTATATTTTTATATTAGAATCATAAAATAACATTTAATTCATTAAATATGTCTTAAAATGACAAAAAATTTTAACTTTATCCTTGTTAAAGTAGAAATTAAAGAGAGAGATACATAGAAGAATTAAATATATAATGATCCATAGAATATAATTAAACATACAATAGAGATGAAATTAAAAAAATAGTAATAAATAACCTTTTATATGTCTTATGTTAATAACCAAAACACCCTTCTAAAATGTGTAATATCTGGAGTGAGTATATAAGAGAAATATGAAAATTAGAACTGGTGGAGAAGGAAGTAGATAATATCAGCAACTTTTTTTTTTTTATTTAAAATATCCTCGCAGTCAATAGTCGTAAAATTAATCCTCCTAAAAATTAAGAGTCATTTAAAAGTTGTCATATCCCAAGTAATATCGGCAACTTTTAACCACTCAAAACATTCAGTGCCATGTACATCAAAATTAAACCGTAAAAAAAAAAAAAAAGTCTCTTGTTTATTATATCAGTGAGAATATGTGAGGTGGTGCAATTAAGTTGAACAGGCAAAATCTCATTACGTTTCTCTCTCTTAAAAATTAAACCGAACCAAGAAATTAATCTGCACCTCAATCTCTAGCGAGCTCTCTCTATATACATAACTAGTGATTGATCTTTTGGTCAGTACTGTTGCTGCTGCAGATCATTGAGGTTGAAGACGAAGATGCTTCTGGTTCAGGTTCACAGGTACAGTACGATAATGGCACAATCGGCTGAGCCAGATACGTAGGCTTGTCGTCCCCAGCCATTATGACAAGAATCTTCGGCTCAGAGTCAGCCATGGCCATTACTTGCAATGATCTGAAGCTGTCTTCTTCTGGAGACGACGACGACGAAGACAACGGAGAAGAAGAAGAAGGTCTCTTTCTGTGTGAGCAGAAGAGGATGATCAATGCGAGAGACATGAGAGCAAGAACAAGACCTAAGCCTCCAAAGAGGTAAGGAACTGGAGACCTCCAAACACTAATATTGTTATTATTCATCACAGGCCTCATCTTTGTGATTGTTTTTGTTGTGTCTTGAAATGTTGAAGAGAGATCTGAAATTTATAGAGCAGTGGATAATGGGGAGAGGTTTAATTTGGAATTTACGAAAGAGGGCCTTGTGAGGAAGATTCGTTTTTGGTGCTTGGTTTGATGCCATGCCAGCATGCCTAGCCATTGCTCTATGTCAAAAAGTGATATTTAGTGGCTTGGGAGATGAAAAGTGTGTGATATATGTATATATATGAGATAAGCACTGAGGAATTTATTAAGTGGCTAGTGTTGTTACTTTACTGTTTCTCTTATAGCTTTCCAAGTTATCAATACTTTCACACACACACACATTCATGCCATTATGTCGTCATACAAATTCACTCTTTGCTAATGAAAAGTAGTTCCCTCCAATTGGCAACGGTGTAACTCGTAACTTTTAAAATCAAGCAACTAAAAATTATACCTAGTATTAAACGAGTTAAAGGATTAGTTCAAGAGTACATAGTCAAATCGTAGGTAGAATAATTTTAAATAAATCATTTTGTTGAACCAATTAAGATATTAATTCAACAATTTATTCATTCAATCAGTGCTAGGTTGGCATGGTTTTAATTAAATAAGAAAAAATGATAAATAATTTCCTTTGAAATAAGCAAATGACAAAATATTTTTTTGTGAAATTATGGTTTTGACTCTCTACAAAATAATATTAGGTAGTATAGATGCTAAAAACCTAAATTAAAATTATTAATAATAAAAGTAAGACTAAAATATACATTTAGTCCTTTAACTTTACATAACATTGTATTTTAATCACTTAACTTTATAAAATATCTTTTTAGTCTTTTAATCCTAAAATTGTTGGTTTTATCCCAATAAATTTTTATATTAAACTTTTAAATATTGATAAAATATTTTCAAATGTTAACATATTAAGTTTAATTTTTTTAAAAATAACAACAAATGACACAAAAAAATTATTTAAAATTAACGATATTAGGGTTAAAGGATTAAAAGAATATTTTACAAAATTAAATAATTAAATTAAAACTTGTAAAAAAGTTAGAGGATTAAAAGTATAATTTAGCCTAAAAGTAAAATTGTTAATATAAGATATATAGTTGTTATTAAATGACTAAATTAAAACTATAACTAATGGTGTTGTTAATATTTAAATACAAGTTGTTAATCATTAAGCTGAAGTTGCTAATTAATATAGAAAACATACTTGTTATTACATCACTAGACTAACAACTAAGCTTCCTATATTAATAACTTTACATTTGATATTAACAATTTTAGTTTAGATTTTAACAACTATGTTTTTTTTTTATTATTTTGCTTAGGGTCAAAAACAAGATTTCGCAAAAAATATTTGTATCAGATAAGTTCTAGAGACTTTAAAATAATTACTGGATTTTATGGTACTTATTCATCATTTATCTATTTCGATGTGATTTATTTATTAGTAATCTCTATTGCTTTTTGAATTATGAGATCGTTCTCCTTTTGTTGAGTGTCGACGATTCAACTCACCAAAATCTTTTATTAGTAATTTAAAATAATATTCAGTTTTTGCAACCTCTTCATTGTAAACACAATTCTTTAGCCATGATGTTGTCATCACAAAATCCGCCAATTAATTAATTTTATATTGATAACAAGAGATTGCTCACAACTTTACACTAAGGTTGTTTTAGTGTGATTCCTTCCATAGTTAATTATAATCAATTAATAATTTGAAATAATGTTAATTAAAAAAGTGCTCTCAAAATTAAATAATTGTTTTAAGAATAAAAAAATAAATTGGCCCTTGAACTATAAATACAAGAGCATTTGGGACCCTAAACTTATTTTTAGTACAATATTTCCTTCAACTTTTAAAAATAATACAATCTGACTTTGACCGTTAACAAAAGTTAACTTTGTTCATTAATAGATCAAAAAAGATAAAAAATTTCTCAAAAATTACAGAAAAGAAGCACTAATATTTTATTTGTCATTATCTGTAATTTTTGAGTCTTTTAACTATAATTTTTTTTGTCATTTATACAATTTTTGAAGTTCTTTTTTATCATATTTTGGTCAACTATTGGTCAAAATTAACTTTTGTTAATAATAGGAGCTAGATTATATTATTTTTAAAAATTAAAAGGAAATATTGTACAAAAAATAAAGTTAAGGTCTTAGATACTCTTGAATATATAGTTTAGAGGTCAATTTACCATTTAACTCTTATTTTAATTATTCACAGAATTTAGATCAGGTTTCTTATATATATTTCGACTGGGAAAAAGGAGAAGAAGAAGGCTGCATGTGGGGTTCAACTCACCTCATGGCTATCTCTCCGTCTCTACTGCTTACACAAGCTATTTATGTCTAATATATAAAAGGAGTTGTGATTTGGTATTAATTTTAATCAATGAAAATGATTTACAAATCCTTGCACTTGACTAATTAAAAAAAGTTACAAAAAATTAATTGTCATTTGCTACACATTCTTGCACTTGACTGATAAAAAAGTTTGCAAAAAATTATTTATCATTTGCTACGTCAGTTTAGCATATATCTTAACTGATTAGATTTCCCTATTTGAAGAGTAGTCACATACCTATAGACACTTGCAAAGTGATAGAAATGTAATTTTGCAAATTAAAAATTATATCAAATAAGTTTTTGGGGACTTTAGAATGATTATCCAATTTCACGGTATTTTTTTTTTAATCATTTGTCTACATAAGTGGGATTTATTTGTCTTTCTCGTCAAATAGTTCTAGAATTCATAGAGTATATTGATATATTGATATTGATTCGATATAACTTTGAACCACTTTGAAAAGATAGGAAGATAAGGATGACTTTTGCACTTGTAATCAACTTAGGATATTAATTTTTAGATATTATTATGAATAAATTACTTCTGATCTTAAACATAGGATTTTAGCTGGTGGTACTCTCTTATATTGACTTTTGATATATTAGATGGTGGTAGGGAATGGTGATTGAATTAAAGACAAATATAATTATTCTAATGAAAGAAATTCAATAGTGGTATCAATTACAGTTAGAAATAATAATAGTTAATTAGATGCAAAAAAATTTAATAGTGACATTGCAGATAAAATGTTAAAAAATAAATTAAAAATATTGATTCACATAATTACAAATTTAGAATTTTATATTGAATATATGATATTTAAATTTTAAATGTAATTCTTATATTATATTTGGAATTCTTGTTTTATAATTATTGAATGATATTTGCAATTCATTTTTAAATTTTTTTTAACAAGAACCTAATTGCCATTCTCCCTTACATTTAATTTATAATATTCCTAGTGAAAGAAATTATATTCCTGTAGAGTATAAACTCTTATAAGAAAAACATAATTTTGAGTTTTTTACTTTACTTGCGTTTCGCTATTGATCCCTATACCTTTTTTTATGTCTTTGATCTCTACACTTTTATTTTGTATTATTTTAGGTCTTTCATAAATAAAGTGTAGAGACCTTGGAGGGACCTAAAAGGATGAAAAATAAAAGTATAAGGCTAAAAAATACTAAAAAAAATATAAGGACTAATAACAAAATGTGAGCAAAATGTAAGGACCTAATGTTATGTTTTTCTACTCTTATATTATAATGACTAAATCAAAGTTTTTTAAAAATGATATATTTATTTATTGTATAAATTTATATAATTGAGGTGCTAGTTTTCAATTAAGTCAAAATACATAAATTTTTTATAAATTATGTATTGTATAATAAACTCTTGTTAGTAATATTATTAATATAATAAGATTCATTTATTTTGATTTAATTAGATAAAAATATATTAAATATATAAAGCTAAGTACTTGAGTGAAGTTTGAGAGGTACTGCTCCACTTTTAAATATAAGAAAATTTTAACAAATTCATATAATTAAAGAAAATTAATTAATCTTGATAGTTATGCTTGAAATTGAAATGTTTAAACTAAAATTTACTTATAATTAATCCTTTATTTTATTTCAAATTTAATGATCCTACCATTTAAGGAAGAGCAATTAAAAAAATATCATAAATGCTTTTTTTTAAATTATTTTTTTTTGTAAAATCCCGTTTTAAGTTTCGTACACAAAATAAATAATTGAAACCTAAAAACTTGAATGTTAATTTACATAATCTCTAAATTTTATTATACTTCCCTCCATCTCAAATTGTAAGATATTAATTAGAAAAATTTGACGTCCCAAAATATAAGATAGTTTGAAAAGATTAATGTGTCATTAAACATGCTTATTTCAATATTACCTTTTTCTCTCTTTATAATTAATTTTTATTTTTTTTAATATATTAAATAATGAATATTTTTGAAAGTTTATATTTTTATCTTGAAAAGATAATGTTGGTAAATGTATTTAATAAAATTTATTGATATATAAAATTTTATTTAAAAGTATTTTATAATTTAAAAAATAGTAAATAATTTATAAAGTACTTCTTCTTTTTGGATAAAAATAAGGTACTTCTAATTACTTCAACAGAATCAAGGAAATATGATTAAATTATTATAACTTTGTTTAAAAATAAAATAATTTTTGTTTTTATTTTTATTTAAATTTTGAATAATTTCTTCTAAAAGGTACTTTGAGATAAGAAACTGAGAAAGTGTAATGTACAAATTTAAGATAAAGAATTATTAAAACATAATTAATTAATTAATTAATAAGAAGTTCTAGAGGCTTGGAGATGAGATGCGCACGTGTTCCAAACGTACATGTCTGAAATAATTTGAAAGCAAATGTGTTCCAGCGGCTCCCAGTAGGTAAGCCACGTATCGGACAACTCAAATAACTCACATTTAAATTTTTCTAAAGGCCAAATAATTAAGTTTGTTTATTTTGCATTCAATTACTTGCCTCCCTAAATTCTGCCTCAAAAAAAAAAAAAACGAAGAAATAAAAGAAAGCAACTGCTTTCTTCATCCCTGTTTATTTATTTTGGTAGGAAAAAGCATATATAGATTATAGACTAA